AGAAGGGGAATTGTGGAAACTAACACCTTATATGTGAGAATTTCACACTAAATCTATGAATTCTATTTCAAATGAAAGTTTTCAAAAGTCTATAAAAATTTTAAAATGAAAATATATAGAAGTCTATGAAATACTTCTATTAATTCCATACAAATCTATAAAAGATTCATGAAATCCACAAAAGTCATCATTTAAAAAAAGTCTATCAAAATTTTCAAAAGTTCCAATTAAATACACCAATTTAAGTTTCATTCTCTAACATTTTAAGCCCCTGTTTGATGGCTATCATTTTACATTGAATGGTGAATTTTTGGTAAATATGGAATTTAAAAATATAAAAAGTTTTAGATTTATGTTTATAATATTTTATTGTATCAATGTGTGATTAAAAATGAATACGTAGAATAAAGAGTTTTAAAATAATGATTATCAAATGGGAACTTAAATTTATATCAAAGTAATTTTTATCTATAAAACTTTTTAATAAAATAAGTCTTTGTATGTCAACTCGAATTTTTTCATACTTTTTTATCACAATTTTTTCCAAAATAATAAAAAAATTATTATTATTATTACAAAAACTAATTTAAAAAAAGAAAAGAAAAGAAGAGGAACTCAAATGGAGCCTAACCGATACCAACATTTACCTCCAGTTTACTACTTACTTATAAAAAGTTCTCGATTACTCACTCACTTTAAAAAAATGTTATTCGCTCATCATCCATCTCAATTTCATTTATCACTTCGACAAAAAAATTCACATGACAAATGCAAATCCTACTTGAATAAACAATCTTAAATCTTCAAAGTTAATTAAATGAGTAATCAACATTATTGGTTACTACTCGCTCATTCAAAAATAAAAAGGTTATTATTGCTCACCCACTTTTGCACAAAGTTATCCATCCTCACCCATCTCAAATTCGTTCGCCAATATGTTTGTCCTTACTTTATTTTACATATTTCTCGTTCAATACAATTTAATATTGAGATTGTGGAGCTAAATGCAAATTTTTAAAACTTTTTCTAATTTGCTCAAAGTATGGGCTCTTTTACTTGAGCCGAAAAAGCTTGACGAGCTTGTAGGTGTTTTGAAACCATTCAGATGCCGTCTCATCAAGAGAAGCAGCAATCCGATAGACAAAAAGCTTGATGTCTACAAGAAAATTATGCTAGGGATCCTAGTTTTGTGGAATTAGAGATGATATATGTTTTCATTCTTAAAGTTTAAGTGTGTTTGATGACAATTCTGTATTTTATACGACTTGGCTTCGCTATCGGTCCTATGTAGTAGTTGACCTGAAAAATCGTTGTTGATGGATTCTACTTTTCCTCCTTCTTTCTCGAGATTCGGTTAGTGCTCAATCTACTGATCATTGGTAGAAGAGAGAATTTCATAGTCGCCCTCTACAACCTTTTCTATCTATCTTTAGAAGTAGGGCGAGAGAAAGTCAATGTGATATCTGCGTATGTTTTTCCAACAAAACTAAGCGCTTTCTTCCTTTCTCATTCAAAATTACTAGAAAAATACCCAGGTACTCAGTCTAACATCTCAAAAGATTATAAGCCCTCGTTTGGCTTCCATTCTTTTCAAATTTTAATGATTGGAATAGTGTTTTTTTGAAAAATGTGTGGTTGAAAAAGAATAAAAAGTTTTTGACTTGCATGTAATATTATTTTATGAAAAATTGTGTGATTGAAAATAAGAATGAGAAAAAAATGAGAAGGAGAATAGAGACCAAACGGAACTCATTATTCTACATTAATAGATTGGCCATATTGAGAAAGTGAAAAAATGAACATTTAGGGCTCTTAGTTCCAAAAGTATTCTACAACTTGGCTGGCCGAAGACCAAGCCTAAACAATACCCCTATCGTCATACCAGAATCCAATCCTTCAATTCTCAGCAAAAGCAAAGACTCCTTATCCCATCATATTTTGAAAATTATAGCCTTCATGATCTTACTAAGATTATTGACATCATAGTTTTTTCAGAAGCTAGGAAGAAAGATTTCGAAACTACCCGTTGTGTTAGAAAATCATACGAGTCATAGTTGTGAAGCTCCGCGTCCATGATTGTCAGCAAAAATGAAGTATTCATAAAGATAACGGTCGAAGGATATTCATATTTGATTGGATTTTTCTTTGGTACGAGAGAGACATTAAATAAGGCCTCCTCATTTCTGTGAGAGATCTGAGCTGAAATGACTTTCTTGATACGAAAGAAAAAGCCCCACTATATCTAGCACTAGATAAGTTTAAAAGGGCAGGCTAGAAGTTTTTTTTGTCGTCGTGTTCCTGCACTTAAATTTCTAAGTTCAGCCACATGGGCTAGTTTTGTCTGTGTCTTCTCAGGAGTTATATCCTTCTTTACAAGTCACTTCTCTAACTCCTCAGATAACGCAGCTAACCTTTCTTTGAAATCTATATCTTTTGTTTAGCAAATCTGGAATAAGGAATCTTTGGAAGCAAGAAAGCAAATAGAAGAACTAAGGCAAGGGAAGATATTCCATTTTTCAAATTTCTTTGCTGAAAGAAGCTAGTATATTGTACATAATTATTTGTAAAAGAACTAATATTTAAAGTTTGATGGAATTTCAATGGATCAAGATATTAGTATTTAGCATATTTGCTCAATTGTGTAAAATCGAATCCTCACTCGATCCCAAGTCGCAATCACCAACTTCTGTCTTTGAAAACCCAACAATAAAAAGTATTGCATTTGAGAGTTAATTAACAATGTCATAACATAACAGAACTATGGCTGAATGAACATACACATGAGAAGATCCATGAAAGAAAAATAGACGTTTGACTTCTTCATCTATTCGAATTTTTGTGAAGAATTCCTAACCTAATTTTGCATCTTCATCTATCAAAATGCAAAGTAATTATGTAAAATTAGATGATTTTGACTAATTATGTAAAATCAATATTGTTCCCATAGTTGTAATTTGATTAAAGTGTCATTCTAACATAAGTCGAATCTAGAACTGATGAATCGATTGAGTTGGCTCCACCCTTAGATGCCCAAGCTCAACTCGTGTACAAAAACCTTGCTTGGGTTGATCATTTGGTTTGATGGCCTCATAAGTCGAGTTGACTCATTTTCAAAATAAAATAAAATTGAAACCATTATTTAATAATAATAATAATAATAATAATAATAATAATAATAATTATTATTATTATTATTATTATTATTATTATTATTATTATTATTATTATTATTATTATTGGGTTTTGAATTGACTAATTTTAATGTATACACAAATAAGATATCACTTGCATGAATTTTTTCAAAAAATTAGAAAAAAAAATGTAAACAATACTTACAAATTGAAAAATCAGATCATAAAAATCTCAAACCATTTGTGTTCACTTCATCTTGGACTAAAGATCTATATGTTTTCAAACTTTTAAATACGTTAAGTTCTCTATGCAACATGCAATGCGTGGAACAAATTTTTACGAAGTTCAGAGAGCCAAATAGATTTTGAATCAATCCTACATCTAGTTTCTAGATATGAATTCAGATCAAACATTTTAGCCTGATTGTTGACTTGAACAAATTGTCTGCATTTATGACCTCTCGAAAAATTCTGAAGAGTGGACTTTAAGAAGTGATAAAGAATGATTTCAAAAAAATTTGGAAGTTCGTGAATGTAACCAATTTGTTCAAGTCCATAATCAAGTTAAAAAGTTCAATATGTATACCTAAAGATAGAATTGGTATATATCGAAGAAATATGTAGAATGATATAATTATACTAGAATTAGACAAAATTAACTCAAGTAAGTAATTTTAAAGACAGTAAAACATTAGATTGCACAATAAAAGAAGTTAATATGAATAGTATTATAATTGTAAATTGAGAAGGTAATTTGTGGAAAAAATGAAGTGAAGTAGAGTTTACATAAATATTTTAAAAATAATAATAAAAAAAAAATTGGACCCTTTTCAAACTAATAATAATAATAATAACAACAACTCTAACTCTTCTCTTTCTTTAGAAAATTCAAAAATCCTTGTTCAGCGCCTTAAGTCATATATTTGTGTGTTTTGACCAATTAAATATTCTAATATTTGACGAGTGACATAATGCAAATCACGATTAGGCTAGCGTTGTGATTGTTTCTTGCATTATGAAACTCCTCAATATTAGAACCTTTATTTGGCCAAGATTCAAGAATCTATGACTCAAGGGTCTACCAAAAATTCTTGGAGTCATTACAAATACTTAAACATAAAATCTTATTGTTACAACATGAGAAGAATATATTGATGATTGTGATAAAGGTTGCATTTACTGTTTACTATTACCTAATGCCGCAACTTAATCCAATAACAAAGATTGTTGAATTTATTGTTAAGTATTTTGACATTGAAATATATAATGATACACTACAGATCATTGGAAAAATTAAAGAGAAAAAGAGAAGTGATTCACCCCTCTCAAGTGTTTGGATTGTGCTTCGTGCTCTGTGAAAAAAATGTAGTTAGAGTTTTTATATGGAGAATAGGATCGTTACAAAAAAAAATAACAAATTAAATAAAATTTGACACTGTGCCAATGTGATTGTTTGGCTCAAATGATCAAAGCTGGGGGCCCACGAGCTCAAGACGAGCCAACCCATGAAAAATCTTTGGAGCTCAACTTGGCTAGAGACTCATCTCAAAACGAGTTCAAGACATTCCTAGGTTGATCAGAGCACGCGAATGGCTCTATCCATTTGGTACATCTAATTGAATCTGACAAAGCGAAGAAAAAAATTTAACATAACACAAAAAAATTTTGGGTACTATTCCTTTTATTCTATTTCATTTATTTTTCCTTTTATTCTATTATATTTATTTTTTGTTCACTATTTATTTGCTTTTTTAACTAAGTTCGTGTTTGGTTCCCATTTTTAAGAGTGAATTGTCCAAATGGTCATTAAACTTTACAAAAAATTTCTAAGGGATCACTGATTTTTAAAAATCACCTCAATGGTCATTGAACTTTGCAAAAAGTTTCCCAGGGATCATTAAGCTTTGCAAAGTTAAGTGACTATTTAGGTGATTTTTAAAATTCAGTGATCCCTTGAAACTTTTTTGCAAATATTAGTGACCATTTGAGCAATTTACTCCATTTTTAAAATTCATTCTTCTTCAAATTTGTTTTAAATNGGGGGGGGGGGGGGGGTTGATTTGTGTTGGACTTGTGAATTGTCCAGGGAAGTTTCTGTAATTTTAGCTGGTTTTATTTGCCCTAAAAGAAGATCAAATTTTGGAACACACTGCTGTGTTATTGTTTGACATAATCGACGGATTATAATTAGGTAGAGCTTAATTATCATTTCATGCTTCATTCCTGTTAGCTAAACTTATTATTTTTACTTTAATTCATTTTCTTGAGAAGATAAAATTGTTTCTAGTGTGGCATGCATTTTTTGATATGAATAAGAAATCATGTAATGGCAAATAAAGCTGTGAAGGCCTGCCCTTGCTCTTTGGTTTACTCTAAAGGCTTCTTGTGTTGGCAAAATGTGAGTCCTTAAAATTCTTGGAGCTGAAATGTGATTGTCATTCACTAAAATTTGATGCTGGTGATTGGTATGGGTTCGTTATAGCTCCATGGGGTAAATCTTTGCTGTCCACATTTTTAATAGAAAATAAAGAAGTAAAAGAAACATATAGCATACTGTTTCTGTCTTTAACTGGTAATATGGTAGTTTAAATTTGGTCATTATGCTTATGCTTAGCTATGAAAAGTTCTTTGTGAGCTGCATAGGTTCATTAGAAAGAAATATCATATTACTAATTGTAGGCAAGCATCGATTAAAAGTGGCTGGAAAACTGTCTGCTTCAGATCAGAAATCCCTTCTGGGAATTTCTGATCTATCAACTAATTCTACTTTGGGTTAAACAGTTCTGAATTTCACTTATCAAATGTAAAAGAGTATCACCCCTAAATCTGGCATCAAATTCCTGACATGGATCTTGTGGATCACTTAGACTACATGGACGTATAAGGAAAATTGAGAAAGGGAAGAAGAACATAGGAAAAGTTAAATGTTACTATTTCTTTGGAATTTTACTATGGAAGCACTGTGTAAATATTAAATCTATAAGCAAAATGACCACCTCACCTGTACCCAATGACACCTGGACATATGAAATACTCTAGAATCAGGATGTTTATAACTTATAACAAATATGTATTTGTACAATGTTAATTACAAATAATCGAGCTAAGTGATTTTATCTTCATATCTAACAAAAGCCTACTGTGTAATTCTCTAATTCTGTCTTTGAGAAGTTGTTTGGCTTTACATATCTTTTTGAAATATCTACATAATATTTATTATTACTTTTATTAATTTGCAGATTCGAAAGAGGCAGCAGCTAGTTTTCTTCAAATTTCTTTCAATAATAATCTTTAAATTAGCAAGGATTGTGTATGATGAGATACTTCTTGGATTTTATGATCTTCGGAGTAAATGAATTCTTTTTACAGTGTGCGTGAGTGATGGTCAGTGGGCACAAAGTTGTTCATGCTCTTCGCATATTCAAATGGAAATGGCATGCTAGATCATCTCTAACTACTGGTTTGCTTGATGAGATACCTCATGGAATTGAATTGTCTGACTATCATAAAGCACCAAGCCATGGTAGTGAAAGCCCTTCTGGGCTTCTTGATGGGGATACTTTAATTTTGGAACCAATTGGTGATCTGGACCTGTTTTTTCAAAGGATTTACAGCTACTACTGTGAGAAAGGCCTTTGGTGCATTATCATAAAGTGGATATTTGAGCTTCTGAGCCTGGCTTTTACCATATGTTTCTCTGGGTTCTTCTTGTTGTATGTTGATTGGAATGGCCTTCGCAATGCAAAGTGTGGGATGGTTGCAGTGGAATCTGGAATTAAGCCTTGTGACCTATCCAAGGAAGCTTTGCATGAGCATCCACTGACTCCTTTTACCCTTATCAAATCCATAATTGTGGGCTATCTGGCAATATTTTCCATCTATTGGATTTTTTGTTTTTTGAGGTTCTTTGCACAGTTAAAGGAGACTCTTAAGATCCGCCACTTTTACCACAACAGGTATATCTACATGTGATGTAGTATTTTATCTGGAAGAAAGCTGAGATAACCCTTTTTTTCTTATTTGTCTTGCTCACGATTCATTTTAGTCGAGGCAAGTTTTGTGGCCATCGATTGCCATTTACCAAAATATTATGTATTGGAGTGATTGAAATTCTTTTGTTCATAACTGATTTAAGAAGTTAATATCTTTTGGCAGTCTCCATGTGACAGATAAGGAGATACAAACCACCCCATGGGCTTTGATTCTTGAAAAAGTCGTCAAGGTTCAAAGTGTGCAACAACTAAGTGTGGTCAAGGATCTTTCTATTCATGATGTAGTGATGCGATTGATGCGAAAGGAGAATTATTTAATTGGAATGCTCAACAAAGGAGTGCTTGCATTACCTATTCCTCGGTGGATCCCTGGTGCTGGTTCAACTGTCAGTGTTGATCCAGACGGTTTGCAACGTCGTCTAGTACTGCCGAAGACCCTTGAATGGACCTTGAACTGGTACATTTTAGAGAGTATGTTTGACAGGTAAGCCATGATCTTCCCCCACTGCACAATAACATCTGTAAAGTAGAATATGGGAAAAGATAACTGGAATAAATCCTGCGTTGCTGTCTGTGCTAACCATGTTTCCATGTCCAATTGAATGCTTCCTATTTTTAATTATTTTGGGAAATTTGTACCTTTGGTCTCCTACCTATTGCTCTAGTAGCAAGTTTGTCCTTAGCCTTACCGTACCGCCATGCGTTAATTCTCCACCCATGACAGAAACCATTCAAATCTCTTTTAAATTGTCACAGCTTTGACACGTCCAATTTTACGAAGCTAGGTTTTGCTTTCTAACTTTGCTTGGTTCGTAAAATTTGAATCGAGTCATTTTTCTTTGAGGGGACAAGTCACAATTTAACCAAGACTTTTGACGGTTCCACCACAGGGAAATGATTGTGCCACTATAATAAAAATTGGAGACCAACATGCTCAATTTTATAGGTTTTGGATCAACCAGGTATTGGAGCAATAAGTTGGGAACTAGTGGTGCAATTTTCCCTATTATTTTGAACGCAAAAATTATTCTCCTTTAGAATGTGTGAATCCAATTAAGATGCTCTGACCATTCAACTAATTTTTGAGTAGATACTGAGTTTAACATTTGAAGGAACGTGGACATAAAACTCGACAAACTTTGGTCACATGGAATATATTTCCTTATCTTTCTCGAAAGAGTTTGAATGTGTGCCACAAGGTTGGTGTCTATAAAAATTGAAACCTTTTTGATTGCACAGAAACCATGGAAGTAAAAGAATTGCCAGGTACAACCTCCCCCCTCAACCTATAGAAAAGAAAAGAAAAATAATGAACACTTGGAAAGAAACCCAATTTGTAGGCTCTTTTAGTTAAGAGCCTCTATCGTCCTTGCTTTGCTTTCCTTTTTCCTTTCCATCTGATTTCCTTTATAAAGCACACTCTGTGTACCCCTTACCTCGAATCCTCTTATATGATCCATCGCCAGATATTTAGTCCTTTTTCATTGGGACCCACTGAACGCCCATGCATTCTAAGATTTTACCATCTCATCTTAATCTTGTCCCAATGACTTCATTTTCCAAGTTTTTCCCTCACATCTTAATGAAAACCTGATGACTTTTTGTCAGTATCATTTTCTGATCACTTATACAAATCCAGCTTCTCACATTGTCATGAAGCACTGCTAGGAGTTCTTTTGTTGGATTTGGAGACTCGGGAATGGTTAACTCATTCCATTTTTCCTTGCTACTGAAGTATTTTTTAGGGAACCATGCAGTATATAATTGCATGTAATTTTTCGTCTATCTGTAACTGAAACCAAGCTTTACTCTTTACTTGCGTAACCAAGCTTTCCTCCTGAATTTTACTAGCCCCATTAAATATAGTTATTGTAATGCTCCAAATTTAGGGATATCTCTTCTCGTCTTGTTAAACCTAATATGAACTCCTTCCTGATGCGTGGAACGGTTTTAAGGAACTTAATATACCAGCTTGGCTCATGGTTTTAATACAATAATGGTGTAAAAAAATATATGAGAATGGGATACAAAAATGTGCATAGATATATGATTAAACACTTGACACACATATTATAATAAATGGATAAAGTGTCCATATTGGCAGATGATGGTGACCATGTATATATTCAGATGGCTATACTATCTTGCTGATGATGTTGAACATATATTTGTTATTTGGGTTTCAAGCTGGAATAGTCTCCTTGGCTACTATGATATTTTTTTTAATTGTCATTTGGTATCACTTGAACTTTTGACTACTATATCTTTTTTCTCATCTGAATGTGCTTTATTTTGACAGAAACTTCTGCATACGGAGGGATTTTGTCTCTGATCCTAAAACATTGAAGAAAAGGCTTATGATTGTTGGCTTTGCTATGCTGCTACTCTCTCCATTCCTTGTTATATTCATGCTAGTATATCTCTTCTTGAGGCATGCCGAACAGTTCTATAATCATCCAAGTACAGCATCATCTCGACGATGGTCAAATCTCTCGAAGTGGATGTTCAGGGAATTCAATGAGGTATATTCTTGTCTAAAATATGCATGACAAAGCAGCTTGTTTTTTCTCCATGGGTGATGCCCCGAGAGGGGAAGGATTCATGTGAGGAAGCTGCTTCATCCAATTTATGGATGCTACACTTTAGTTGTATACAACTGCGACTGCAACCTCATCTCATTCTGATTTACACAAATATACCTCACAGCTTGTTTCTTGGAACTTATCAGATGATTTCTATCTTCAACTTACTTAAGAGTGCTTTATCACTTGCAATTTCTCGTTTCGCTCCGGCAGGTTGACCATTTGTTCAAGCACCGGATGAATACCAGTATAGTACATGCTTCCGATTATATAAAGCAATTCCCTTCTCCGATCTTGACCATTGTTGCAAAGTTCATTTCGTTTGTTTCTGGTGGCTTTGCTGCTGTTCTCATTATCATTGCATTCCTGGAAGAATCTCTGCTGGAAGGCCATGTAATACTACTTGACTCTCGCACCACATAGAGGATATAACTTTAACATTTCCTCCTTTTTCCTAACAAAATTTGTTCTCACTTGCGCAGATATTCGGTCGAAACTTATTGTGGTATGCTGCAGTTTTTGGAACTATAACAGCTATAAGCAGGGCTGCAATGATTGATGAGCTTCTTGTCCTTGATCCTCAAGGGGAGATGTTACTTGTTGTCCAACATACACATTATATGCCAAAAAGATGGCGTGGGAAAGAGAACACTGAAACTGTACGGCTGGAGTTTGAAACTCTCTTTCAGGTATTTGTAGATTAAATGCCTGATGATCTCAAGTCTTTCAAGAAGAGTAACTCGAAATATGTGGTCCTTCACTCTACTGCATTGCTGCATTCTCAGATGTCATGATCTTGGTATTCAGCTAATTATAGTTTACTGCCTGTGTGTTGATAAAATAGTGGGGAAAACTAAAGCATTACTCCCCACTTCATAGCCACTGTAGCAATATGGTAACGTTGATGGTTTCCACCACAATGACCACTGCGGCAACTGAATTGAGAGGATTTAAATGTCTAGAATTAGAGTTTGGGGACCAAGTTATTACAAGCACAATGGGATGGGCACTAATGCTGAAATTTTCCCTTAATCATTTATGTTTTAAATAATTTTATTATGACATGTTGACAGCCTTACTTGGCACTTCCTAGTCCTCTGGATTAATAACATTCTTAACCAAATTTTATAGCTAAACTGAGGTCAAATCTTGCATGTGCTACTGCATTTCTTATCCTCTTGATTGACTCATGACTGTGATAATGTGATGCCTAGATTTCATATATTTTCTGTCAAACAGAATCCAGAGGATTTCATTATTTCGTAATAAGAAGTTTTGCTATAGAATTACAAATTTATGGGTTGTGTACAATAAACAGGCCATCTGCTATATCTTTGTTACTGTGTAATCTAACACAAATGATTTTCCTTGAGCAGTACACTGGAATGATGTTACTGGAGGATATGGCCTCGATCTTTCTCACACCATATTTACTTCTATTTGTTGTCCCAAAGGTTGTGATTTCTTTTCAATCTCGTGTTTGCTTTTCATGGTACTAAAATTAAAGCTATGTAATTGCTGATACGTTTAATGCTGCAGCGGGTGGATGATATCTTGCAATTCATTATGGACTTCACTGTGGATGTTGAAGGTGTAGGTCATGTTTGCAGGTTCGTATTACACTGTTTATCTTCACTTCGACCACATATTCTGAAGGTTGCCATATGGACAATATATATTAAATTCTATCATGCAAAATTTAGAAGTTTACTGTTTACCTGTGGCAGTTTTAGCCTCTTTGATTTTGAAAATCATGGCAACAGAAAATATGGTTCACCATTTAATTCATCTCGCAACCAGAGGAGTTCCCAGGGGAAAATGGAAAAATCGTTCTTGAGGTACGACTATTGCTATTTAATACAACATTGTTCAATAACAATAACTTCAAATATTTCTGTCATGGACTAGTTTATCAAAATCTAAGGTGGCAAATTGGAGCATTGGTCCTTGACCTATTGCCTAAGTAGCAAGTTGGTCCCCAACTTTTTAAAGTACAAGTTGATCCTCAACTTTCTTTGTAGTTGCACTATCAGTTCTCAGCTGTGGAAACAATCTAAATCTCTATTTGTCATGTGTTCCTCATGGAAACGTGATTCACATTGAATTTGTGGTCACCGATTCAGTTGGCCAGTAAAATCTAAAATTTATAAAATTAGACACGAGGATGACATGACATTTTAATAGAGATTGGGATGGTTTCCATCGTTAAAGACTAATTACGAGGATCAACTTGCTCCATTTTAAAGGTTGGAGATCAAACTCACTAGGGCAGTAGATTAGGGCCTATAGTGCAAATTTTCCAATTTGAGATGGTTCTGGTTTCCTCATGCATGTCCAATTTCAAATTTGATGTACTTGCAGCTTTCAGATAACGTATCCTTCATGGGAACCAGGTGCTCAAGGGAAGCAATTTATTGCATCACTCAGAACGTTTAGAGATCAAAAGTTGCAAGGTCAGGAAATGATAGTTGGGCATTTCACTCCGGGGTTGCAGCAACTATCGAATCAAAATTTTAGAGGCTTAGGTGACAGAAACAACAGCTTCTTGTGGGAAACGCCCTTTACTAATAGGGGAACTTTTGATCAGTTTGGTTCAATGTGGCTTATAGATGGTGAACAGAAAAACTTTCCATATATTATTGATTGGTTTTATACCTCACAAAATCATGAGAGAGCTGATAATCTAAGAAACGTTCCATCAAGACGTGATGAGGAGAACTCTAAAGATTTCTTGGTCCCACCCCACTTTATGCGAAATGAAACACAAAATGAAGAAAGATATTTGGATAACTGGGAAAGATCAGTTGAGGATAGAATGAAGAGTGAACTCGAAGCATCCACGTCAGCCCCTCTCTTCCGGGAAAGTGTCCTACAGCATCACGATTCACACAATGTAGGAGACCCTACTAGGAGTCATTGGTGGGCAAGAACTAGTCCACAGGATGCAGGTCTGCAGACTAGTTTTCTAGAGCCACCTAATTTCTTTCACGATGCTTCTCGTGATTATTATGATCATTTCTCGGAAGGAGGTGTAGAGGAGGAACCGGAACAACTCTTGGACTGGAGAAATTCCAGGAGATTGTCACGGACTTTCTATATGGACAACTTAGAGGCTGGAGAATTTAATCTTGCATTCGATGATATATATAGAAGGCCTTCGGAGAGTCCCTCCGAGGATGCTGATCCTGCAAATGTTGTGTGATATGTTCTATGTCTAGTAACCATTGAATATGTAAGACTTTCCTCGTCTGGGTTGTTCCATCATTAAAAAAAATATATAAATTTGTGAAAAAATGAAGCTCTACATTCTTTGCTATATAACTAGATTGATCTGGACTGGCATAATCTGGAAGGTGAGTAGATGCTAAAGTCACCACTTACCTGTCCAAAATTGTAATAGAAATATCTTTAATCCAAGCGTCCATTTCGTGTACTGTTCAGGTTTCATTTCCAATGTTTCTGCTGCTTGTTCAAATTTTTGTTAGTAAATCTTGAACCAGTAGATTTTGACTTCGTTGCTTCTCCATGTGACGAGTACTAGGCACCCAGTCATGGTGACTCCCAACTTGTAGTAAGCAATTAAGCCACGTGAGGACTGAGCATTAAAGAAGGCCAAGAAGGCAAACTAAGCCCTGTTTATGAAGATTAAAATTAGATTTTGATAGAGATTTTTGAAATGTATGGTTGAAAAATTATAGAATTCATGAAAGATGAGATTAATATTGATTGTTTGACTTTGATTTAGATTAAAATTTGATTTATTAATACCAAACAAGGGTTAAAACATCAAATGACAAAAAAGAAAAGTCAAAAAGCCTAACATTAACTGAATTGTACCACATTACGAGGGCCTTGGTAAAGGGGGTTTAACCCACATAAATTCTAGTATCAGATTGGGAGAACTATTGTTACTCCGTTTTACATAGAGTCCTAGTTGGATGCTACATAAGAGTCACATGGACAGGTTGAGGCTGACGAACCTCAAGGGATGAGCCCTAGCCTCAATGATGTGGTTGACCCTCACGAGTCTGAGCATAAATGACGAGGCCCTGGGCCGAGCCATGTTTTAAGTGATGAAGCTGACTCTCATGCCTCAACTAATCCATGCAATGTAGAAGAAGCCAAAGACTGGCTTACATCCCACACTAGGACAAAACTAAGTGTTGGACGTGGATCGAGCACAAGGACTAAGTTGAAGCCTAAGTCGAGACTGAGGTCATAGCCAACTTCATCAGGCCGAAGATGAACCGACTTACTCTAACAGTCACTCTGGAAATCATTGGAAACTCTACCATGCCTTGGAGCATAAGTCGTGGCTAGGCGTCCAAATATTATAAGGCCTTATTAGGCTTGGGAAGAAAGTATGTAAACAAGTTGATTAGTTGTGGACAGTGAGCCAAAGACTCTATTATACAAAATCTAAGTACCAATGAAGCTCCCGTATCAGCTATCAACCTGAAAGGATCACGTCTCATCACCCCATTGGAGAAAGATGAGTCATTAAACATAGCAAGGTTAAGATTAAGTAGATTGTTGTCTCTAGATAACCGTTACTAGAGGAAATGCTATTGAGGGCTTAGGCAAAATTGACCTTCATCAAACCGATGTGACGAGTCATCCACCTGGCTTATGGGGGTGGGAAAGAGCCCGTCTAGGGGATTTAGGCGCCCATTTTGCTCCTTCAACCCTATAAATACCCTGAAAGTATGTGAATTCTACACCAGCCAAAGCTTTGTCAATTTGTCTTCGCACGCCTTATTTCTACATTTTGACTTGAGCTACGGAGTGTATATGACTTTTGCACCCCCTTCTGTTACAACAGTCTTGCATTCTAATGTTTCCTAATTTTGTAGGTATCACATAAGTGGACAGAGAGGTGATCGAATTTTGTTGACTTTGGAACGGCCATATTTTGAGGTCAACATACTCAAGACAGATTTTGTTTTGAATGCAATGGACTAGAGAGTGCATAGTAACTGAGATGTGCAAAGGTGTTCTCGGACCAGATAAAGATTGTGTCTTGAGTGCAAATTGGACTAGTTAATTATGGGAATGGGTCTATAGTGCAGATTGGATGATGGAACGGAGAGTATCAGTAGCATATTAAGGGTCCGTTTGATTGCAAAGATAGAATTTGTGTGGAAAGAAACGAATTTTAGAGAATTGAATTGCCTAGAAGTTATTTTACTGAGAATTGTCAATTATTGTGTTTGATTGGTATAATTTTCCACGTGGAAAATGTTGAACTAAAAGTGTTTTTAGTGTTCGTTTGACTTTGTTTTATATAAAAATTGTCAATTAAAGGGATAGAATTTATTGGTATTGAGGATAGAAAGCCAAGAAAATTATCTCATTTTGGTGTTCGTTTGGCTTTATTTTACATAAAAATTGTCAATTAAAGGAAAATATTTTTTTACAATTAGGGATAAGATTTGTTTTCATTACCAAAAAAATAATAATAAATAAATAAAAATAAAAATCCCCCAATAGCCTAGAAAACCAATTCTCACCATATAAGTGGGAATTGAAATTCAAGGAAAATGTTGATGTGGCAAGGGTGGGTGGAAAACCAATTCCATGAAAAAAAATTGACATCAAACATGACAAAAATGGAAAATGAAATTTAAATTCCATTTTCCATGGAATTCCCACCCCTATCAAATAGGCCCTAAATTATTGTGAATTTATAATCAAACTTCGTCCCAATTTGTTTTGGATTAAAAAATAGATTTTGATAAAAGTTTATGAATTGTGTGATTGAAAGTTAACAAAAATTGTGGGAACCATGAAATATATAATTAAAAATGAGTTTGAGGAAAATTTAATTTTAAATTATGTGGTGCTCAATTTGTGCTTGTATTCGGGGCAGATGTAGGGGGATTAGGCCAAATTACAACCTAGTTCAATTTCCAGCCGATTTATATGTAAATTTATTATTATTATTGTTTACATATTAGCCCGTTTGAATTTTATTTATTTATTTATTTAGGGATAATACATAAGTCCTTGTTCTAAAGATTATATTTCATAAATAACAAATTCACTAAAATATTTCAAAAATCGAATGGTAAATAAATTTATTAAATTATAATATAATATACTTTAATTATTTCCACCCCGTACCACCTCACTCCACTACACTACGTTCCCTCTACCTTTCTATCGGAGATGGCCATCGGCTCTGACGATTGCTCGGGCAGTCGCTTTAACGACTGCTAGGACAACTATTTTTTTTTATTTACTAATGACCTGTGATTATTTCTATTGGATTTGTAACTTGTGCACATTGTGACATATGAAATATGACTTGTAAACCATGAATTGTTAACCGTGACTCGTAACATAAAATGTGATCTATAAAGTTGATTTGTGACCTACAAAATGACTGACTTGTGAACTCAAACATGTGACCAGTGTATTGTGACTTTACGGCAAATTATGACATGTAACATATGAATTGTGCCTGTGTCTAGTAACATCTGCGACTTTAATAATAATATGTGACCTATGAATTGGCTTATGTGACCGTGGCAAATGACCATGTGGTCAACTGCACCATCACCACATGTGCCCATCACTGCCACTTCACCACCTGCGCCCATCTGAATCTCACACGGCGTCGGAATCTCACACTACCACAACCAACACCACAAACACAACCACCTGTGACCAGAGGAAAATGGAGGAAAGGACCATTAGCACCACCTTCTGATGAAAAAATAATGGCAAGGGAGAAGAAGAATATAAAATTATATTAACTAAGGCTTGAACACAAAATTAATCTCGCTATCCTCAAACGTTAATTGCCTCCTTTCCAAATGCTTTTAACGATTTTCCGCAAATCGTACGTAGGATTAAACAAGCCTTGATGTAAAGAACACCAAAAGTAAAAATGTTATTCACAATGAACAAGTGAAAATTGGAATGATTATGTGATAATTTCCTCAATATTTGGAAGAATAATTTGGGGATGAATTTCAATGGAATTCAATGAATTTTTTTTTGCACTTGGATCACCTATTTATAGGCCTTGGCAAGTTCCCACAAAATGGTACAAGAAACAAGTGAAAAGTCACCGAATTTGAATGAAAAAATGGTCAAAAACTAACCCAACGGTTAGTTTTTAATAACCATGTGACCGCATGGATTAAGCCCATGCGGTCGCATGGTTAAGCAATTTTTTTTTTTGCTTTTTTTCTTTCCGATTTTGAACAACAAATAAATTTTCAACAATCCCCCACTTGTTCAAAATCTGTTTTAATTACATAATCAAATATCAACACTTATGCATAAGAATTATATATCTTTTGATTTGAATATATTCATAGTGTAATTCTCATAAAGCATTATTAGAATTCCAAGTGGCTAGTGTGCCTTGAACCAGTTATTCTTCGTAACAATACCAATGAAATCACACATACAAGTGTTAAGCTTTTTACTAATTCCTCAAACTCGCTTAGTGCTAATATGGCCTTGCACTAATTCTATTTCATTGAGCTTTTAAAGAGAGAAAACTCCAACTCTCTAATGAGGCAGCACCACCTCGAAGTTCACATAGGTGAAGTTCTTCCAGTATCTTTGTTACTTTTACAAATACTTGTACAATTGTACTTCATATTGAACTTCATTAAGAGTTTATTTTAACTCATCCCTCCAACAGTAACAACCAACACTATTTTTCAAAAATAGTATTAGATATATTTAATAGTGTTGAATCCATCCACTTATCGAATAACTTGTTGTTGCCTCTTGAACCTATATATATACTAGTTTAGTATATTTTGGTGAGGTTGCAGTTATTGGTGGATCTATTTGAGGAGTTTTAATCCCATTTTACTTGATGTTGATCTCACTAACTCTTTTGTGAGAGGTTTTGTAAATGGCTTGGCTAAGTTCTCACTAGACTTAACAAATGTAAGAGAAATTACTCATGCTTGATTAATTTCCTTACATACTTGTGTCTTAAACTTATGTGTCTAGACTTTCCATTGTATAATTCGTTATATGCTCGAGCTAGAGTGGCCTGACTATCACACAAGATAGGTGTAGAAAAAATATCCTTTATATCTAAAGGTATTTCATATAATAAATCTCTTAGCCACTCAACTTCTTTCCCGGTTTCGCCCAATGCTACAAACTCCAATTCCATAGTTTAATGAGTAATACAAGTTTGATTCTTAGACTTCCAAGAAGCTGCACCACCTCCAAGAGTGAATGTCCAACCTGAAGTAGATTTATTCTCTCCTACACTCGATATCCAACTTGCGTCGGTATATCCTTCCAAGATTTTAAGAAATTGTGTACATTGTAACCCAAGATTTTTGGTGTTCTTTAGGTAACTAAGAACCTACCGATGGCCTTCCAATGTTCTGAACTTGGATTGCTAGTAAACCTACTTAGTTTACTTACAGCAAATGCTACATCTGGTCTTGTACATTGTGATGCGT